CCATTGTGTAACAGTTACAGCCTGGAGATTATGCACAACGAATGAACTTCGCACGTGAGATGGAAGCACTGATCTATCAAAATGAGAAACTCATTTTGTTTATGATTGACGAAGCCCACTTTCACTTTCACCTGAACAGCATGGTTAACCAGCAGAATTGTCGTTATTGGGCTAATAAAAATCCGCAACACTTACACGATAGACCGCTGCACAGCCCAAAAGTAACGGTTTGGTGCGCTGTATCGCAAACTTGCATCATTGGCCCTTACTTCTTCGAAGACGGTAATGGTCCTGATGTTACCGTGAACTCAGAGCGCTACGTCGACATGATCACCAACTTCTTTCTCCCTGAATTACGACGGCGACGTGTTCCAATCCGGTGGTTCCAGCAGGATGGGGCGACCGCCCACACAGCCCGAGCATATGGACGTTATTCGCCCTCTCTTCCCTGGTCGCCTTATTTTCAGGTTTGGCGATGTTCATTGGCCTCCTCGGTCCCCCGATTTATCCATATGCGATTTTTTCTTATAGGGACACCTCATGGCTAGAGTATACGCGAACAAGCCCCGAACTCTGGATGAATTGAAGGGCGAAATTCGCGTGGAAGTCGCCCAAGTTGAGAGAGCGATGTTGGAGAGAGTCTACGCGAACTTCCAAGAACGCCTCCAGCACTGCATCAACGATTTCGGCCACCACATGCCTGATGTGATTTTCCACACTTGACTGTCTCAAATGCTATTTCCTTGTGAACCTGATTCCATCAATAATTTGTTTTCAAGTAAAAATTAACTATTTTATGTTTTTGTCAAAACCGTCCATCCTCTCTGCCGCACCCTGTATATGAGTTGTGTAGTCCGGGAAATGTAATATTATTTTTCAAAAAAGTTTACAATACATAGATAGCGGCTCGAGGCCGTCCGTATGATGAATGAGTTTAATTAATTTGTGCCACATATCTGGCAGGAGCAATGTCATGGTATTTGCGCGAGCATCCGATAGTCGTAAGCTACCATCAGATCTGCCCTGCCTGCGTGGCGATATAAAGCCTAAGTTATGGGTGTATGGGGGGTGCTAAGGTCAGAAAATTGCCACCTCCAATCCTTGTGTAGGTATCAACAGTACTGTCGTTGGTGTTCTCATAACGATTATAAGCGCATTATGCAACTTAAAATAAGTTATGACATCAAACATAAGGCATATGGGAAGTTTGATCTATAGCAGCTTTGTACCCAAATCTCTGAAGAAGTCTGAGCCTGAGTTGTAAACGAATTCTTATCTGCAGGTGCGTTGTCGTGATGGAAGAAGATGGAATCCAAACTCGAACAAGAAGCTGAAATTTTCCAACGATTGATACAAACAAAAACCGTTGTGTAAAAATTAGAACTGATTGTTTTGGGTTTCTCCAGCACCACAGTTACAATAATTCTTTCTTTACTGAAGAATACATTTATCCCTCTTTTCCTAACGGACTAAGAAGTGGTTGCTAGCATATAGCACTTTTTGCCTTTGAAGACTAAGACCTTGAATTGGGATTCTCTGGCTATGACGTAACAAATATGACGCAACATCTCGTAACCTGTTAAAATAGCATTCACAACCTTACCTTTCCCAGAATTTAACTTTTTCGACATTTTTTAGCTACTATATCTAACAAGCAGTATTTTTGGTGCACGAGAAATATTTGTTTGATTTTGATGGCAAGCTGAAAATTATTATTAGTTGCTCATCCAGGTGGAAATTTATACTTTTGAAATGTCATAGTGTGTATATCTTAAAACAACAACACGTTTGCAAATCTCTTTTATGTTTCGCCAAACCAATAACAAAAAACTATTAGATGAATCAATGTGGAAGAGGAGGATCTATTAGCTTATTTACTCTGATTAAACTTGGGTAAATTTGACTTGTCGGCTTGCACATACCATTGTCTTAAAAATATTACACACCACATGACATTTTCATCAACTTTTTCACCAGATCCCTCCAACAAAACAGTATGTGTGTATTCGTTATCCTTTATGAGTCTCTCCGCAATTTCAAAATGTTTCCTCATCCCTCTTCGGGTTTGCTATTCATGCTAGACGGTGTCTGCTGGCAGACAAATTAATGATCAACAGCGGGCCTTACGATGATGTATCTACTACACACATGTATGTACTTTGATTTTTGTTCTGGTTGTTTCATGTCTGCGTGATGCTTTTGTGTTTCAAAATTTTCCAGAGATAGGAGACAGAAAAAGTCTCATTGCTGGATGATTCATAAAGCAATCACCAGTTTGTGAGATACGAGTAGCTACAGTTTAAGTGCTGGTTGGGTTAGGTAATGTCTAATGTGCGCTTCAGTTTTTATGATATGAATAATGCATTTATTACAGCCATTTTTTGTATACAAGGAGCCGCCGTGGTGTGCCGGCGGGTTACGCGGCTTGCCGGCGTCACTTCATTCCTGGCAATCGAGCGGTAGTGTTGTGCGGTTTGTGTGTTTAAACAAATTAAAATGACGTTTAATTGGGACGACGAAGCTGTGCTGCTCTTAATTGAAAAATTTCATGAAAATGATATATTATGGAATCCCAGAAATGCAGCAATTCACTAGCTTTCTATGTGACTGTCACAACCGGAATGATGCTTGACGGCTTTGCGCGGCTTGTGTTGCCGGCGGCATAGCCGCTCGGCATAAACCCGGCGGCATTGCCGCCGGCACTGTGTGTAGCAGCTTTATGGGTTAGGTAATCAAAATTTCAGAAAAAATCAACGTTGTAAAAATGTAGAAAAAATAATAATTTATTGGGCCTCCACGAACTAGCAACCCGGGGTTCGAGTATCCGCCTTGGAAGTTAATTCCTTGCCACGGATGTTGTGTGTGTGGGTGCAATATTAGCAGGTCTGATGTACAGGGTGAAAAACTAAGAATGCGAGGTAGTGTATCTAAAAACCTATCCATCGTAGAGGCAAAAACAGTTACTACTAAAACGGCCAAACGAAAAACCTGGAGAATATATACAAGCTTCTGAAAAGACCGCTAGGGGGCGTAACTGCAAACTTGAATATGAAATAGTGATGGGTCTGTGAATACCGGGGGTGTTCAAAGGATTTCGTAAAAAACCCGATTTTAACAAACTTGGTGTAGTTGAAAAGAGGCATTCTTGGGCTACAAATGTTTTGATATTTGAAATTTTGTTAGTTCCACGTGTAGTAGCTAGAGGGCTTTATCCGACATTCCGACAGATATGGTTAATTTTCCCAAAAAATTAAATGCGTTGGTATGATTTTTTGGGAAAATCCACTTTATTTTTAGATATACAGCAATCATTGTCAAACAAAGAAGGTTCAGATTATCCTCGAACTTAAAGATCAGGTATTTTTTTGTTAGGTTAATATGGCGGAATCCACAGAAACATCACTCTTTTAGATTGAAGATTGCAGTTTCGCCCCCCCTAGCGGCGATTTGAGAAACTAGAAAATATTTTCCAGGTTTTTTTTTGGCCGTTTTAGAAGATAACTGTTTTTGCCGCACGTCTCTACCATGGATAGGTTCCCAGATACAGTATCTCGCATTCTCAGTTGGCCACCCTGTACATCACATCGCTGGAGCTGGTTCATTGTGTCAGTTACCAGAAAATGGATCATACAGTGTTTGTACTACAGTGTCGGCAAAAATGGTCAAAGGTGGCCCAGTTGCCAGGCTTCGTCCCCCACCAATACTACTACTGGGCCTCAAGTTGTCTTATGCACTCAAGTAAACACATCTGGGCATACTCCTAATCAGATGATAGATTGGCTGTCGATGTATCTTATCGCAGGCAACTTTTCGAAGTTTCGCTGAAGTTTTTGGAGGATGGGGTAAACCGAGAGACATTTTTCCCATAATGTCCTAGACGTTTTAAAGGGTGAAAAATCTGGAGATCTAGGGGCCAAGGCAACAAATCGACTTGTCTCCAAAATGGACCAACCTTATAATACTTTTAACTCTTCGTGTACGGCTTTCCTGCTTTCATATCTGACAACAAACCACCACCGCATTTCGACATCTGGGCACCCTGGTGACTATCTCTCTAAAGGACCAACTGGCCTCATACGTACAAACCTACTATTCGCTCCATATCAAACTCGCTAAGGTGTTGAAAATTCTCTGGTCTTCTCAATCTAGGCTTAACGAGCAAATTTCAGCAGCTCTTCACAACGTATTGTACGATGATCAAATACCAATTTTAGCTACAAAACACACTATCCCTGACTTACTCTTTTTATAAGAACAGACCATAGTACCAAGAAACAGTTTATCGATATGGTTGAAAAGCTGATCGTTTTTTTTTGTTCTAACCTAAACAAATTCATGTCTAGAGAATATTCCTAATAGAGTCATTATTACTGTGTGTTTTTTCTAGAGAACCTAAGTACAGTCGCGAACGACTTATGGAGCAGGTATTATAAAAGCGATGCGCGATCATGCTTGTCAGTAATACCCTAATACTGATCAATAGCGGGAAGATGTTTTCTGCAGTCTAAGACAGTAAATAAAACATTTACTATACAAGAACCTCAAGCTAAATTCTAGTATTTTTCCCGTGTATAATACACAATTTTGTTCCTGTGACGGGAAAAACGATTATTTAATATTGAAAAATTATATTATTACAATATTTAAGTTATTATATATATATATTAAAATTATCGATGTGAAATTTAAATTTTGAAATTAGTAGGCTATGTTGTACTGTAGCGATAGTTAGACCTGCGTTGCTAAGGAAACTTTTAAAGTAATCAAATAGCTGTCAAATTAATTTTGTGATTAGATTCAAAAATTGTGAACTTAGTGGTTGTTTAAAAGTTATTTCTAATACTATAAAGTAAAAAATGTCTGATTCCGAGTTTTCTTTGACTCCATCGGAATTAGTAGAAGTAGCCAAAGTAGCGTCACAAAAGTTATTGCCAGCTAATTTTTTTCCCGGGAAAAAGTTATTTTCTAAAAAGTGACATTTTGTTACCTGTCAACAGAGATAAAATGCCAAACTTTTTTCCCGTCACATTAAAAACCTTTATTTTTTTGCCTTTGCCAACCGCCTCGACGGTATAACGGTATTAAGAAATTTCGTGCAACTTCTGAGTAGATCAGTCATCTTTCCTCCCTTACGAACATGACTTCATTTCTTTAACATTCAGAATTTTAATGGTGGAATGGCGTATTCCCATCAAAACACTAATAGCGGAAATCGAGAAGAAACGGAGGAGAATTACATTCATCAGCGACATTTATTCGGCATATCTGACATTTCCTATATTAGCAAAATCAACCCCATGAATCGTGACAAGATAACGAATTTCCCAAGATCCAACCGGAGCCACCGGAGTTACCGGAAGAACGAAACAAGCTTACCGAGATACCAGGCACGAATCGACTCATTTCGGAAACGAGTGCTATTGGAAGGAGGTTATCGGAGTAAGAAATGAAAAATGAATAGAGCAGATTGACTTTCAGATTCTCATGAAGTGGTATCAGTTTAAAAGTTGATGTTTATAGGATAAAAAAGCATTATTGTAGCGCCACATTGTGATTATAATTAACAACAATGAATTCTGAGGTATTCACCTAGCTTCAAACTCCGAGGATCGTTAACTTATAGGCTAGCTTGGGCATAAGATGCGAGGATGTTTTGACAAAGGACGATGGTCATTTAGAGACCAACACCATTAGTCATGAATACATAGTGGGAAAGTTGCTTATAGAGAGAAGAAGAAAATTAAAGTAAAAGATTTTACGAATTCACCTATAAAGTTAATTAACCTGATACTGTTATTTGTAGGTGCACGATTTGGAAGGATAATAAGGAAGCAAATATCAGCTGCATTTTTTTGACAAGCCAAGAATGAACTAGGAATTAATGATCCTGTTTCTTGCGGAAACATTTTAGGTATAATTCTTATACTCTCGCCCGGCTCCTCCGCCTATAGAGAAACCCCTGAGCTATCAAAAGGATTCAAAAAGATTGTCTTTAGAAGATCCTCGAGACATTCTGTAGTGTAAAACGTCTCTTTAATTAAATATTTATTAAGAAACTTCTCATATTGTAAAAATCATCCAACCGATTTAAAGTTACTCCACATTTAGAAAAAATATACAATTGAACCAATTGAAATGTTAATTACGCCAATTCAAAAACTCAATAAGTTCGTGACAGCTAACAAGTTTAATTAATTTGAATAAATTAAGATTTCTTGATTGCTTGAATCTATGGAATTAGTTTAATTAAATCAAAACGAAATTGTTTAATAAAATTTATCAAACTGTTTATTTAGATTGAGTACACTAATTGTTTCAAAATTAATGAACTATTGAAATTAGTGTACCCGCTGCAGGTAAAACAATTCAATTATATTTATGAAATTTGATTAATTAGTGGAGGTAAATGCCTAATTATAATGAATTATTTCATTTAGATTCAATAGTATATTTGGATGGTATGTAATTTAAAAGAACAAATAGCATCTTCTGAATGATGTATGTTACAATTGTTCTCTAAAAAATCTAAGACAACAAAAAATTTGAAAAACATAATTGGAATTTTCGAATTAAAACAAAAACTTCCGAATTGAACTTATTGTATATGGGATCAAGTTTTACCAATTTATTTGTATGTCCAAAGACTGGTTATATCACTCATTTCCGTCGGTATGTCTCCTTCTGCTAGTTCTCGACCTGTCTATAACTTGGAAAGTAACGCTCGGATTTCGATAACATTTTCACACAAGGTTACTAGTGTACCAAGGACGAAGAAGCTTCTAAGTTTTTGAAATCAGGTCCAATGGCGGGGAAGCTACGAGGCAAAAAGCAAAACAAGTAGAAATCGTTCATACTCTTTTTATGTTTCAGAAGCTCCTGATTTTATTCGGAAAAAAATGTTGTGGATAAAAATTGAGAGGTTGAAGGGTTGTAGGGGTGATGGAGGGTATATCTCAATTCCTTGATATTAGTATACTTATACGCTCCCAACCACGGTAATTCTACGCACCTATTAGTCATATTTCACACGTCATAGATTTCCCCGTATATTTCTCCTAGAATGATAGAGAAGTGTCTTCGATACTGCTTCTGCTCTCTGACAAGTGTGCAACCATTACTGGCGCGGTGCCGCATTGCCGCATCTGAATGACTTGTGGGCAAGTACGGAGATTAGCGACGTTGCCAGATGGACGATACTACCGGTAGAGCCGGAAAGGAATGTCTATGGACTAATTGTATGGGCCTGTTAGACTGCCTTGATCATCTCAACTTCTCTGTTATACATTTTCGTAACTCACTTTTTTCTCTAAGTTGTACAGTGCAATAGTGCAGAATCGACGTAAATGACATCATTCTATTGATTAGTGCGAATGATTATTAACATTAAAATTCTTAGGGCTCCATTGTCTGGTCGCGATTTCAAATCACAATGGTTGTAATTACTGTTTATTGTACGACGTTTCGGCCACCACGGTGGGTATACCAGACAGACCAACGAAAATTGGTGATACAATTACTCTGCTTGATTCGTTTATTGCCTTGAGAAGTGAATATGTTACGCAATATCTAACCTCAAAGGACTGCAACAAATTCTATACTCCAAGCGAAAGTTCAAAAGGCTTTTCTTGAAATACACAAGAACTTCTCCAGTTTGTAACTGGATATCAATCAACAAAATTCACGTTACCGTGCTTAAAAAGACCACCTGACGACAACTTAACAAATCCCTCCTCTGACATGTAAGATATTGATTGCATTACAGACAATCCTAACGCAGTAAAAAACCTAAGCGAAAATAACGAGTGCACTTTTCGGCGCTATATACCTGTAATATACGCTTTTTTGTAGCCATAGATTTAAAACTGCCGAGTAATGACATATAATATATTCTCTTTGAAGTTGGATTAAGTTCCGCAACACCCCTTAGAGCACGGCTTGGAATTCATTATTTTTCCAGCTATCACATATCGCTTACCGCGCTGCTATCTCTCACACCCCCATAATTATATACTTTCGACTTTAAAATATTATCATATTGCTTTCTTAGCGATAATCGTCGCGAAAGTATCACGCCGCATTTTTTTTTAATGACGGAAAATGTGAATATGATACTTTTTTAGAGTTTCCTGTATATGAGGGCGCAGAATAATGATATAGCTCGGTTGTTTTAAAGAATAGTGACTGCAGGATTATCTTTCTCAAAAGGTTTGCATACGGTGACTCATTTATTTTTTTATTTTGGTTCACAGTCTTGGCAGTAAGCATGGCAGATGTGGCAAAAAACCTCGCCATTGTAAGAGGAATTTTCAAATCCAATTTGTTTCATTAGCAGGTAGTTGGATACCGCTGGGCGGTAAGCCGATGCTTTCTTAAAACAATTTCTTTAAAACACCTAAAAATTGGCATAAAATTGGTTTATTTTATTTGGATCATTCTGGACCAATTACCTTCTTCGTTTTCTTTAAAGTTGTCAGTTTTCTAGATATAAGGGATTTACAGTCTGTAAAACCACAAAAATGGCCGTCTTCAATGCCTAAAAACTTCGCTACTTTTGAGATTTGTCCAAATGTAAAGTACAAGCGTTAGAGCTAAATCCGATGACTACGGAGGATGTGGCATTATTTTACAGTTCAGCTTCAGTAGATTTTGTCGGACATGGTCATGAAGAAAAACAGTATGTATGCCATCTTGTAGACGCTTGCGTCGGAGTTCAAGCTTCAGATTTTTAAATTTATTAGAGTACACCGTCGCAGTGTTGGAAAAACGTGAAAAATAGCGAGAAAAAATCTATTTCTTAGATTTTCCCTATGCTTACAATTATTATAATTTGGACTGTGTAGTTCGGTAGTTTAGCTCAAATAAATGAGAAATGACCAAGATCCCACTTTTAAGGATTTTGTGTATATGGAGATAGAAGAAGAGGATAGTTGCGAAGAGACTTTATAATCAGTCTCAAAGCGTTACACAGGAAAGGAAAACACTACTCTGCACCATCATTACATGCATATTTTAAAGTGCCAAATATTGAAAACATTTGATGAAATAGTTTTTGCACTGGTTTCAAAGCCAAGGATTTTAAATATGTAATACATATTTTTGGATGTATGGAAAACACTAGGGGGAATTTTCCATTTTACATCTAAGTCATGAATCGGCACTCGCTATTTGAGGATTGTAGAATCGCAGACCGGTGAATCTACAAGACGAGCAAATCGGTGAAACATTGCGGAGCAGACGGATCATCATCTAGTTCTTTCTTTCGAAACACATGTGAGACAATGATAGCTAGATCAATCGGCCGGTTCACATCTCACAGAAAAATACCCAAGGTCTTATTTTTCCTCCAAAATATCCACCAGAACATTTTGTCGACTAAAAATACCCCAAGGCAAGAAAAAATTCCCCAATATGGGATCCCTGTCGCGGGGAGGTGCATAGTTATATTAGTTCAAGCTTCTTCAAATATGGCAATCCGTTGTAGCACAATTCACGTATTTATTTGACTAACAGAGGAAAAAACGTGTTATTTTAACAAAAATATTGTTTTTTTAGATATATGTGCGATTTTTTAGAGTATCTGATATTATATTAGAAGAGCCTTCTCAGTCATAGAAATTAGAAGGATTGATTTAACGGCTTTGATAGAAAACAAGAAAATAAGAGGCCGAGAGGGCAAAGTTAATACTGTATTTGCATGATGTGTTATTGTTGTTAATGCATCTAAAATTGGTAGGTATTTTGGTGCAAACGGCATATGAATATGAAAAGAAAACAGATCAAGAATTCTGATCGGAAAAATTCAATCAATTCGTGAGATGTGCTTATTTTGCAAGGCACAACACATGTGTCTCTGATAACGTACTTTTTTGAAGAAATGAATATTTTACAGTGAAAATGTGACAGTGAAGGTGTGATTCCTATGCTACGACCGAGACGACTGTAGCCGCGCGATCATTGGCGCGTGATGCAGTCTTACGGGGCGACTCTTTTCGGTACTTAATTTTTGGCGGCGCTCATTTTAATTCATCAGCATGGTTTCGGCTATCCAGCGGTACGGTCTATCGAAATAAGACAGCGCAACGCGCCATCTATCACCAGCATCGACCACGCGTTTTTGTTTACCTTTGTTAAAATGTCATCTTTTAGTTTTTGTGAAGAAAGCAGTTTCTGAGAGCTAAGTAGTAAGCATAACAAAATGCCTCGAGTTCGAAGAAGTCCAAATTACCACTATATTAGCGACTTTGATAGGGGTAGAATTATTGCCTATCGAGATGTTGGTTTGTCCTATCGCGAAATTGGCCGCCGTGTTGATACATACCTCAAAGCGCTAAGATGGGCGCTTCAGACAACTAGCCCTACGAAACCGTTTTGCTACTACGCGTCAGATCGCTGACCAATGATTTGGAGAAGAAGGTAGACCTGTTACTATGCGTATGGTATATCTGAAGTCACTTGAAATAGCATAAAAACCTTTGGTCGGCGCGTCCTTTGTAATTTCATGACGTATCATAGGCGTGCGGAAATTTATTTAGAACGATAATAATAATGTTTTTATATCACAATAAATGGATTTTACTATCTTCTTATTTTTTTGATTTGGGATAAAAAATACTTATATTGAGAGTTTAATTTATGTTGACTGAAAGTTAAGAAATGGAAAAATTACAGAATTCCAACGTTTGACATAGGCAAATATTTACATAGCAGGTAGGTATATAAAAAGGTATATAAAGACTTACATTATAGGTATTTATATATCATCCTCGCCTTCGGAGCTGTCGCTAGAGTCATCTTGTAGAGGAATTACAACGGGATTTACAGGAGGCAAAACACAATATTCATTTTCTTTTTCAATAATATGCCTAGAACACTGCTTCCATAGGTCTGTGGCAGCAATATGAGATACTGCATCTCTTATTGTGGCCAATAGCGATTCACTTAATTGAGGGGTCTGATTATGTTTTCTTACTTTTTTTTTAAAGCAGCCCAGACCAACTCAATCGGGTTAAAAATGCAGTAATAGGGAG